TGGGGGTGTCCCGAAGGCTTCCAGGCAAAGGTCTGGAAGCCTTTGGGACACCCCTACCCTGCCCCCGCCGCCGCTGAGAGCCTTCCAAGCTCTCAAAGGGCTTTCTCCAATGTCGGAGGGGGGCCCTTTGAGAGCTCAGAAGGCAAATGTCGGCGGTGGCTCCAGTGTCCTTCTGAGGCCACCGCCGACATTTTCCCCCAGCTGAGAGGCGGGGCTCCCGCTGAGCTGGGGGAAAATGCCCCTTCCGAAGGGGAATGCAGGCGGTGGCTTCGGAAGGGGCCTTCCGAGGCCACTGCCGACATTTTCCCCCAGCTGAGTAGCGGGGCTTCAAAGCTCCCGCCGCTCAGCTGGGGGAAAATTGGGCTATGGGGAAAAATCGCAAAGCGATTTTCCCCCATAGTCAACATCGTAATGCGATCGCAAAAGCGATCGCAAAATCCACATCGGTATGCGGATTCGTCGTTAAATGGGGCGCTCGTTAAGCGAGGCATCACTGTATCAAAATTCTTCAAAAATTATGCTAACTTGTCTATTTTGGGATCACATGATGAAAGGGACATTCAGCTCAAGAAAGGCTCTGAAGACTTGAAAATAAAGAACTAGTTTTCTGTTATTTAGATACCAACATCTGGAATTACTGTACAACTATCCAACCTTTTTAGGAACCATTACCAAAAAAAAAAAAAAAAAAGTATCAAGTTCAAAGTTGGTCAGGGGAAGTGGTGGAAGTCAAACTCACCTTCATACTGATGTTTCACAGTATTTCCAATATCTGCAAACTTACGGTCCTCAAATATCAAGAATTCATGCTGCTCTGCAAGTCCTCTCAATTCCCTTGCAACTTCCTGGGAAAAATCATCCAGAATATCAACATGTGTTTTCAAAATACAGATGGAGGGCCCCAGCATAGCAGCCAGTTGGAGCAATTCCTTGGAGCTGGTGACATCAGCAGAAAGGCACAGGTTTGTCTGCTTTTTCTCCATGAGTCTGAACAGCTGGGCAGCAAGTGGATGGGTACCTGGAAGCTCAGCTCTGGCAGCAAAACTCATTTCTTTGCATATTCTTTTCATAGAAACAGTTCCATTTTGCTCAGAAGGTTTGACAATATTGTCCTGAATGAATTTTTCCACATTTGCCACTATTGCAGGTGTCTCTTGAATGAATTTTTCCACGCTTGCCACTATTCCAGGTGTTATTTTCTGTTGCTGCTCAAGGATCCTGAGAATCTGAGACAAGGTACATACCGAGTGCAGCTGAATCCCATTCTTCTCCAACATGGCTCTTCCTCCTTGCTCTCTGTCCAAGAGCACTATGGCATCAGTAACCTTCAGGCCCTCTTTCCGAAGGACCTCTGCTGTCTCCAAGACACTTGAGCCACTAGTAACTACATCTTCAATTACCAAGCAGGTTTCTCCTGCATTTATTGTGCCCTCCACAAGGCGTTTAGTACCTTAAGAAGCAAAATATTATAGAAATATGATTTTCTCTAAACAATCAACACAAAAAAAGTTAGTTATTAAACACGGACCACATAGCAATAAGTAAGGAAGTCCTGAAAAGGATTTTTACATGGATGTCTCTAGATCATGGGCATACTATATATCTACATCAAAAGGCTAGCTTTCCCATCTCGAATTGTGCTTACTTATACAGCAATATTTACAATCTAGATGAAGTGTAGTTCATTTTACCATGATCTTTGGCTTCCTTCCTACGGATAAGCATTGGGATCTGTTTGTTTGAGCAGATGATTGTAGCCAATGGCAATGCTGTATAAGGAACTCCACATACACAGTCATACTTGAGTGCAGCATTCTTTGCTACTTGAAAGAGAAGATCTGCTACCTGAAATAAATCATGATACATTCAGAATTTATTTTGCTAGTATTAATACCAATGCATTTGTTATTAACATAATAGTACAGGAAAATCTCAAACTGCACACATGAGATTTGCTAGGAAGGAGACCCTACATTCAACACTTCCAGATCACATCAATTATGATTGGAGCCTTTTCTTTTAACTTTTGTCCAGTCCTTTCTTTCTTTTCTTTTTTTGTCTGCATTTTATCACTCCAAATGGCAAGCCAAGAGAAGCTACACAAGTAATCGTACTTTCATTCTTTGTTTAGACAGAGAAATAGCATCCTATCTCTACTCCTAGAAGAGCAGTGGGTAACATAAGCACCAACTGGATGAAGACCGCACAGCAATCTCTCCCTTCAACACCAGTTTTTATGCTCACTTCTGAAATACCATAACAATGAACATACAAGTATTCACTTTTCAACAAAGAATCTATAAATCATTTAAACATCAATGAGAAATATAACTCTGCTTATGGGGGGGTGCTTCTTACATCACTTCATTTAAGCCTCTATCCTATTCTACCTGCCTCCATCTTTTAAGTTATGTTTCCTACTCCTTAAAAATATCTGAGCCTTTCAAATCCCACAATAGTATCCAGGCATTTTATCACTTCAAGAGATGTCACAGATATATTTATATTATGCCTCACCCCATCCCATTAAAAAAAAAAATTAAAAGTAGCAGATTAAGCAGCACCCTACAGTTAGCCATGCTTTACATGGGTTTACATACAACTTTGTATCACCGCTTCCTCCTTCCATCAACCACTCTTTACCCACCTATCAGAACCCCCAGCACTTCTAAAGGATTCAAAAAAAACCAGCCCCACACAGCTTCTCGACTACTATTGGCCAGCAGGCTCTCAGAGGCTGTCTTCTTTCCTTTAATTTGTTGACTCCACCTCCTCCCTGTATGCTCCCTTCTTCCCCATTTTGTTACAACTTCCAAGGGATAGTGCAGTTACTCCATACAAGGATTACTAGTTGAACTCCATGAGCTTACAACAAAATATAAATAACATGTGAAATAAATGCATACATATATTCAATCATAGGTCGCTTTTCTAATGCATTTTTTAATTTCTGTTATTTATATTTACAGTGGTGCCTCGTATAACAAGTGCCCCGTTTAACGACGAACTTTGCGATGTTTTCCCC